TTGCACCTAAGCACACCTGGCCAGTGGCGGCAGAAAGTGGGTACAGACTATGCCCACAGGACCTCGTCATTGTTGGAAAACTGCTTCCCGACATTATCCGACAGTCTGAGAATCACTTCATTTGGAACAGCAGCTTTTATTTGTACTGGATGGAAGTTAAGTGTGATCTCTGCTATACTGAAACAGATGCTGTGAGTACCATACAGGCGCATGAACAGCACACTCCTACAAAGAAGGGAATTGTTGGCCTTAAGCTGAAACCAGTGTATAGGGTTACTCAATGATACCAGGCTATTCTGTTGCAGTCCCCAGTATTTCACTCTGTTCAGGTGTACAAGGTAAAGCTCTATACTATCCAAGCCCAGCATCTGTTTATGAAGTCAACCACGCCTCAGGATAACTACAAGTACTAAGTAAAGCCAACTGCACATGTAAGAACAAGTCGATCGCAATTGACGATCCAAATTTTGTTCAAGCTAACAAAGTGTGTTTATAATTCAGTCTTGTACTATATTGATATTACTGTCTACTTATTACCTCATGATGTCATCTCAATTCAACAATGCATATGCACACATAAGGGAAGCAAACTGAGAACAGAAATAGACCATTCATTCCTTGTCAGAGGAGAACCAATGCAGAAAACAAGAGACTGCAGCTAGGAGATGAAATAAACCGCTGCTGAATACTGGGCTAAATCCTATTTCCTTATCATTAAGCCTGCAGAAACAGCGTGTCCATCCAGCTGAGACACACCGAGTGTGACAGGCTCTGAATCATCTGTAGAAGCCCTATATGCAGTCTAAACATACTGCGCCATAGCTTAGGCTTGCTGCTCTTTCCTTCACAGCTTTGAGTATTTGAGTTTCCAGCAAAGCTGTTAATGAGGACTCCAAGTAGCTACAGGGACAGGGTTATCTTAATGAATGACAGAGAGCATAGATTACATTTTCCCCCACTCGGTTTATGCACATAAACACACATAACAACAACTAATGTCCATAAACAATACACAGACATAAACTGAACACACATGCACGCAACTAAGGTTGACGTGTTTGTGTTGGCCTTTAGTTGGTTCCAGCCTGAGAGAGAGCAGGGAGCTGGCAAGACTCCCTGATGGCACTGGCTGACCCACTTCTGTGCAACTCTATCCCTAATGTGACCTGCTGGAAAGCCAGAGGACACACACATAAGCAAACACACACACATCTGAAATTGCCTGCCTACAAAAAAAAAACCCTGGAGGACTGAGGAAAAAAAAGCTACTAAATGCTACTGATGGCTATCTCTCTCTGTCCTTCTCATCACTCTCCGTTTTCTGTTTCTCACACTTTGTCTGAAGATCACCCACTTAAGTAACGCTGCTATCTGATCTAGCTAAACTAGCTATCAACATCCGGTGTGAATTACTGTAAGCTCTACACTGTAACTGGGCTGATAGTTTTGAGTACAACAGTCAATCTAGTAATACTAAAGACAGGATAACCAGATAGCACAACCAACCTCACTTTGATGTCATCCTCTGTTTCTCTCTACCCACATTTCCTGTCACTCTCAACTATTTCCTCTCTAATTAAGGCTAAGAAATGCCCCCCAAAACATTTTAAATTAAGTCATGGCACACATATAGTTGGGTCTGTGAGAAGCAAATCTGCTTTTTGTTGCACTAGCATATTGCCAAAACCAATTGATGCAAAGTGTGGAGATAAGTCTGTCTGATGTGTGCTGTGATCACACAACATTATTAAAAACAAAACCCACCTCGGAGAAGGAGCTGGCTGGAAAGTAGTCAGTAATCAGATGGCTCACTGACAGCTGGTGTTTGTGCAATGTTTTCTTGTGAGAGGAGGATTTGATTAAAAAGACAACTTTGAGGTAAACAAAGTCAAACTGACACTTTGCCGGCTAGAACAGATAACGGAAGAGGCGTCGCTTGTGTTCATTCTAGTCTCTCTACGACTAATACATATTAATGAATTTATATTTCCAGGTCATTGTTTTGGGAAGCATTTTAGTCTGCAAGTAACCTCTGTTATTATTTTTTTGATTTATGGATTAATAGTTTGGTCTAGCTTAAAACTCCCCACATTAGAGAAACTAATAGCAGAGTTTGCCATTTTTGCTTGATAAATTAGTAAAACAATGAACTGCTTCTCAACTATGCTATTTACATTTTGTCAGTCAACTAACTGATTTATTGAGCAATTCATTCAGTTTCACTTTTTAACCACTTCACATGCCCATCTTAAGTCCAGGGTAGGTTGCACATTATCAGGTGTGCAACAACAGAAAAAAGAATGACTCTACAATAAGTCCAACACAGAGATATTTACTGTGCTTTGCAGCTAAAAATACCAAGCAGCCACTCAAACAAGCATATTGCCCTGCTGCTAATGTCAGGTCTCAGTGGCTGTGCAGGCAGAGGCTTGATGTTTCACTGTCTATTTATGTAAGCAATGACAATGTAACCAAGAAGGGTGACCTAAGTTTTGGGGGACATGCAGGCCTGTATGAGTTCCTCATGCATGCTGCGCACCAAGTGTGTGTACATGCATGTGTCTGTTTATGCGTATGTGTGTGTGTTTGCATGTGTGTCTGATCCGGCAATAGTCTGGAAGAAGGAACAATGGCATTCCTGTGCTCTGAGCTCCAGGTGGCTGTGGAAACCCAATCCCAAACCAAGCCTCGCTGGCACACAGAGTGCCGGGAACGCCGAATGCTGCTGCCTCCCTCCGGAGACGTGGGCCAGAATAGAGCTATTGTTCCAGACCAGCTCGGGGCAATAAATGCACCACAGCCACCCTCTATGACAAACACATACCCGCAAATACCAATACACACAAACTGAGTGGATATCTGGCTTTTCATCTTAGACTTTCACTTTCAGATTTGAAAAAACATCTACTCATTTCTGACCATGATTAAAAACACAGAAATGGGTGAAACATCTTGGCTGCATTTGTGCACATGCTTTATAATTGGGAGTTTTGTAAAGATTCAACTAATTACATTCCAAAGCATGCCATTATCATGATTATTACCACCTGTATTACCATTACACAGTGGAAACACACACAACTTATTATTTACACGTACCCTATATGAGCTAAAACTACAGTGACGTACCTACACTACTCACTGAGACGCAGAACCATATTTACAATTCATAATCCAAATACTCGCCTCTCACTGAATCTGTGTCCCAGAAGATTGGCCAAAATGTTCCAAATTTGCAAAATTTCCAAACAAATGTGGGAGCAGTGGGACACATAAGCAGGCACATCTGCTGATGCCTGAACACACAGTCAACACACACAGGGCAGGAAACGCATCATGCCGACTGCAACGGCCTTGAAATGAGGAACATGATTCATTTCCTTTCAATGCTGGACAGTCATGCCTTAACACGGGGCTAAGTTCAAATATACAACTATGAGGAAAGCCCTGAATGTGACACACATACAACCCCAAGTCAGGACAAAAACACATGTAATGAGAACTTGCAAGTCACATGCACTGTAGACATTTCAAGGCAACAACCACTACATTTTACGATATTGACCTACATGGCCAAACCAGTGGTTCTTTTATGTAGCCTAGTTTCAAGACATGATCAAAGCCATTAGCTCATGTTCAGGCACCATGGGACCAATGTTACAGGTAGTGTAAAGGTACAGCAGCCTCCCTCCGGCAACACAGCATATTCTCCTCCTGCACACGTACAGGCAACGCCACACACACACATATGGTGCGGGTAAATAATACATGTTCCTTCTTTCTTCTCCCTTTAAGGAACATGACAGATTAATCCAATTGGTTCTCTGTCAATCCTACATCTTCATCACAGCTCTGCTCTGCAACTGCAGAGTCTTGCAGGATTGATAGTGAATCCATTTTCTTATCTCTTGAGATAATTACAGCATTGTTAATGCATGCTCACTCATGCACACTCCTTCTCTCTTCTTTCACTCACTCACTCACTCACTCACTCACTCACTCAATAAGTCTATCTTTCTCTCTCTTACACACACACACACACACACAGACAGACACAGGTCAGGCCACACATGCTTCAACCAAGACCTATAAAAGGTCTTTTAGTGACTGAAATTACATGAAATGTAATTAACCTCTGTTCAAGAGAGGACGAGGACTCACGAAATCAACGGCCCAACAAGGAAGGAAAGAGGGTTCAATCTTGCCACTGGTTATTTTCTTCCTATATATCAAGCTAAGCTAAATCCTCTGACCTCTATCAGGACACACACACATAACAAGCACCAACCAGGAGTTAGATTCCGTGTGTACAGCTCATCTTTACAGGCTGTGGTGCAACACTGAAGCTCTGAAAGGTTCAGAGATAAATGAGGAAATGTCCAACAGGAAGAGACTCGCACATACAGTACATGTAGTCAGCTACATAACTTTACACATGCTCTGATTTTTATGTCTTGTTGTTGTTGTTGTTGTTGTTGTTTTATATGCGTTTAATGCTGATTGTTAAGGCATGGCTAGCTGATAAGTGTCTTCAGCAGTCATTTGAATAGACCGTTAGGTAAACTCGCTGCAGTCAAATGCGGCAAGTGTGAGATAATGTTAACCTGGCAGCGGGCCATTCACGACAAACCGGCAGTCAAGAGTAGAAAACGCTAACATAAAGATGGCTAACATAAAAGTGTTTACAAGCATCATTATGGTCGACAAACACCCTTTCATCTAGCGCATGTCAGACTGGTTGTGGAGCAGCAAGTGTCGGATTATTAGCAGAGGAGTTAAAGTGATATTTTGTGTGTTTAACGGTGAGTCGCATCGCATCCCGGTTGCTTGGCTGCTTCTGTCAACAAGAAGCTCTCTGCCATAGCGCCAGTCTGCTGCTGCTAGACAACCGTTACTGCCCAGAAACAGACAGTGTGGATGAACACACAAAAAACAACAACTGTAACGTTATAACGTAGTGGGGTTTTATTTTTATTTTTTTACATAAATTGCTCGCTTACCTTGAGTGGCGAGGCAGCTCGACCCACTGCTGTGGCGCAAGAGACCGCAGGCTAGCTACGAGGCAGAAAACTGACGCCGACACGGTACAAAGTATCACAGCTAAGTTAGCGAGCGGGCTAGCTAGCTTAGCGAGCTAACGATGGGAGGAGGGAGGGAGGGAGTGTGGGGAGAAGAGGGGGGGGGGGACTGTGGTCCTCTCTATGTCGTCGAGACAAACGAGTAAAAAAAAAAAAAAACCCAAAATACTAAGCCCAGGGTTGAGGTGTTTCTTAGGTTGAACGCGGCTACGAGAGCAACGTCCAGCGTCAAAAGGCGCGTTCAGAGGAGACATCCATTTGGAAAGAGAATGTGATTCAGTCGGCAGTGAAGCTATGCGGTGTGTGTGTGTGTGTGTGTGTGTGTGTCTCTCCGGGCGGACGCGCTGCCTCTGCCTAGCCTGGGTCTGTCTGACTGAGGGAGAGAGGGGGAGAGGGGCAGAGAGAGAGAGAGAGAGAGAGAGAGAGAGAGAGAGAGGAACTCGGCTGCTGATGTGCTGGATCAAACAGTAGCAGCATCACTGCTCATCCCTCCCTTCACTACCTCAACCCGGAAGAAATACTACAACTGATCCCGTCCTATTTTATATAGTCCAAAAATGTTCTCCAAAGGCTGCACCGTCCATTAAGATGCATCCGGTGTAGTCTTCTAGTGTATTCGCCAGTGATGAATATGGGCAATAAATGCATAACAATTTCCATTTTATGCATTGTTTGGTCTATTGAAATCTAGGCTATTTGGACAGAACAACTAATGCAGCCAAAGCTTTGAGAGTAAGCTGAAGTGCATGATTAACAGATCATCATCATATCAGATCAATGACAGGGTCAGATATTTAAAGGTCACACAGCACCAGACTGATAGTCGTTGTATTGTCTGAGGTGTAAATTCTACAAACTATTCACTAAATCCTAGCCTACCTCTGTCCAGGTGCAATTAAATATTAATGTCATCCAGCTGTTTTGCGTATAGGCAGTAGTGGGCGACCCGTGTTTGTGTCAGGTGTCCAATCCAGCTCCACTTTCTCCTTAAAATTTGCAAGTCAGTAGGAACCTGGCTCGTTCTTTTCCACATGTCCACATTGCTTACTTTGTCTCTCCAACCAGATGTTTAATATTCTCCAGAGACAGATGTTAATGAATGTGTGCAGCCTGTTTGTTATGTATTTTGTTTTTCTCTGTGTCTCCGATCCATACAACAACACCTGGAGTTAAAGACGCATACGGTATTTGGATGTTCCTTAAGATATGTTTTGAGCTCCAAATCTTCCTGAGCATGTTAAACACCACCCTAATCTTATTGATCCTGCTTTTTATGTCAACATCTGTCCCTGCAGTGGTGTCCACAACACTGGATGGTGTGGATCTTCATCACATGTCTTTACTGTATTGGGTGTAAGACCAAGTTTTGTCACAGCTTGTGAGAGTCTGCCTGTCTTCTCCTGCATTTGTACTCTTTGTGTGACAGGAGAGCTTTGTAATCCGCAATGTCAAGGTCATCCAGCTGCTCCCACATCGTCCTCTGAATCCCATTTCTATTCCCTTCAGTTGTTTCCATCATGATCCACTCAACTGCCAGGAGGAACAGGAAGGGTGAAAGTAGACAACCCTCATTGACCCTGCAGTGACATCAGAGCTGGCCTGCGTGTATGACTTTGTGATGAGGTCCCATCGTACGAGTTAATGTTAATTCCATAGTGGTCCATTAGGCGCCATAGTCCTGTCCGAGCTGTCAACGCTTTTTCAAAGTCGATTTCGAAGTTAATGCACAGGGACGTGTGCTATTCAATAGTGTTCAATGATGATGTGTAGTGTTGCTATGTGGTCCGTACATCCTTCTTGAATCCTGCCTGCCGGATTGTCTACAGTAAGGTTAACCTGGTTGAGAAGACAGTAGGGTGGTCCCTCGGTAGTTGTCACATTTTCTCAGCTCACTTTTTTTGGCGGTTTCACAATGTGTCCCTCTCCCCCGTTCTGTGTGTCTTTTCCTCTTCCAAAATTCTCCCAACGAAGCTATAGAGCATGCCTGTTACTGAGTTTATGTCTAATTTAAGGGCTCCAGGTGGAATATTGTCAGGGCCTGCCAGTTTTTCTATTGCTCCATTGCTGCCTTTATTTGTGTCACACTTACACACATTTTGTAGAGGTATCCTGGTTTTGGGAATATGTGGCTGTTTTGGCGGCGGTGACCTGTTTAGGACTTCAAAATGCTTCTGTGAATATCTGTATATCACTAGTGGCTAAACGGCCTACTTTACCTTGTTTTAACCAAAGCAAGAACACTTTGACCCACTGCCGCTTCTCATGCTAAAAAACGCACACGTTCCAAAATGTTAACTATGTTTGTGTCATTAGTGGAAAAATACTAAATTATAGAGACTAAATGTAATAAAAACATGCCCTCTGATCTTGTAGCTTTCAAGTGGAGGCACACCAAACGGTGTGAAATACAAGCACCTCAATTTTCTCTTGTATGTGTTAAAGGTTTTCAATAATTTTTGAACAAGCCTTGCAAATTAAGGCTTTCTTTAAAAACTTGAGCGTATTGTAATTAATCAGTTTCTGTTGAAAAAACACATTCAAACCAAACAATACTTAAAACCTGTGTAATATTTTTAGTGCCTGCAAAAACACAGGGTATGAAAGTGGCTCCTGTATTTGACATTCTAGCCATATTTCTTCTATTCTCTGTGATCCATCCATTTATCTTCTGAATTTATCAGTCTGTATTAATCAAAGCTGCTGCATGCTGCCCGCCGCCTTATCAGATCATTACCACCATGATACCATCATGATGGTAAGGAAGTTTCCGAAGTAACTGAGAAACTTCAACACTGATAAAATAAATGATGTCTGTCCAACAGGAACATGCACACATGAAGCAGCCTTTCTGTTTAATTTTCTGTAAAATGTAACTGTAGGATTATGTACACATAAACTGCAAAGCACTACTGGAACTGTTGGGAGGCTCGAACAGGTCAGTATGACAGAGGGCCATAACTTAAGCCTGTTTTTATGGGCCACTACTTGCAAACATACCATCAATCCTATAAGACCTCAGATGCAGCTAAGGGGTTGTTGTATATTGCTATATATTGAGGATAAAAATTGGACTGAAAAAGTAGAGAAAATAGAATGGGAAAAGAAAATTGGCTCCTCTTTTCCACCACAACATAGAGGAGGACTGTTTATGGCAAATGGGACACTTCTCAGTTACAAGAAGCTATAAATAAGATGTCAACAGTATTGCTCACTATTACCTGTTCCATCAGGGGAGTGTTTAAATGTCTTGACTGCCGGCATAACCTTTTTTTCGTCACAATTTATTACCAGAATACGAGAAAGCACTTGGGAGTGCTCAGACCACTGCCAGTGCCAGACAGAGCTAGCTGCCTTACTCAGTGAGTTCATTTTCTTCAGTTGATACCATTTTACTGACCGCTTCATTCACAGAGATGGTAAATTCTGTTTCTGATTGGCAACACATTCCCGGGTGTAATTCTGCGAGAGATTCAAGGTGGCTATTATATAATAGTGTCAGTCCACTCTTTCAGAGTTACGCATGCAAACTGGTTTGTGTCAGAATCAGTGCCAAACTCCTGTTGCATATAATGAAGTCAGTGAGGAGCTGTGTCTCATTTTTATGACTCATCGTTCTACCTGCACAGACGGAAAACACTCTGCCCTGACTTGATGAGATGTGAATCTCAATACAGCTGCACTTCTAGGTCAGGTCATGCAGAATGTATTCAGGAAGTGAGATTCAGCACAGTGAATGATTAAATATGTGATACACACAGCTTATTTGCATTCTCCCCTGACAGGCTCGCCATCTTGTATTAGTCATTATACATTTGCAAAATAATCTCACAACCTTGGGGGGGTTTTTTGTCGTCGTCTATAATTATAATCTTTCATTTGGAAGAAAAAACCTACTGTCAGCTGCTTTTGGGATGCACCAAATCCACGTTAAAGCTGTGAAGGCTTTAATTTTATTAAAAGCAATTCAATTTCAGTTATTCTTTAGAGAAAAAAAAATGTCCACACATACTTTGCACAGTTTGTGTATAGGATAAGATGCAGGCTTGGTATTGAAAAGTTTTACTTTTAAGCACACACCAGGAAAAAAGTAAGGCTCAGCCCTCCTGACCAAAGCACCACTGCACACCATTGAGCAAGGCACTGGAAACACTGTAAAGCTTAACCAAACAGGACAAGGCTTGCTCAGCTATCTTTCTATTCATCACTTTGTTGAAATATACAGTTTGCATATGCTTCAAATATTGCAAATGTTTTGGCTATAGTTATTTATATATACATATAGTTATATAGTGACTATTTTAATATAGAACACAACAACTGAAAAGCTGAGAGCACAGTTTTCTGATGTAAATTTTCTCACATTCACTGCACAGATATATGCAAGTAATCTTTCCATATGTATAAATGTCCTCACACCATGTTGGACCTGCCTACACACAGATGCATACATGCAACACGTGAGAGCTATCCATCCCCATTACAAACGTTGGCACATATCCAGCACCAGTCAATGGCCTGCTGACACTGATCAATAATGTGTGCTTCAGGCTGTGGCTTATGTTAGGCTTGCATACCACCCAGAGTCACTAGAGCAGAAAACTCCACCAACATGCTTACATAATCTGATTTAAATGACAACCCTAGCAGCATATTTGCATGCATGCGTGTGTGTGTGTTTGTCAACTAGAAAATCAGCTTCACAGTGAAAATGCTTTTTCTATGGATCTTTGTAGCAACAGGACAGTTTCAAGAGAACTGCTGACAGCTTAGAAGAACATAAAACAGCTCCTCTTGTTTGACTGTGTAGCACCCAGGTGTGTTTAGACTGTAAGCTTGAGTACAGCTGGTGCAAAATGTTTGACTTTGATGTCACTGGTTTCAGCATGCTGCTCCAACCTGCTGTCTGCCTGATACAGTAGATGATGTGTTCATAAGAAAAAGAAGTGTGTGGGTCCAATGCCCCACAGTTACAGCTCATAGTTTAACTTCACCCATAAAACATTCATATCTGTTTGCAATTGAGCTTGAGCACAGTCTCTAGATATACTTTATTCATGTAGCTGGCAGCAGCAGTGTGCCAGTGCTGAAAAATGAATGAGACATTTGGAAAGACCTTCCTCTGAATCAGCATTTCCCCTGCGAGTGTGGCCCTCTAGTCTCCTTAAGACGGTACAAGGACAGCAAAGTAGCTGTGAGGCTTCTCTCTGTGTGTGTGTATCTGAAATACACCCACACACATATAGTATTACACCAGCATCCCTCAGTTCATCAAGGTCTCCGCAGCAGTTCAGACGGCACTGTGTTGAATTTGGATGCAGTGGGTCTTTGTTGGGTAGAGACGTCTGGATTCTGACAGGTCCCTTCCCTGGTGGGCCGGCGCAGACTGATGGATATGCTAAAGGCACTTTCCCCTCAAAGGTGTTTGTGCGAAACACTGTGAATGAACGACAAGAGAATAACCATGTACCTCCCAAGGCATGGCATCCTGCTCTAATCAACCAGCAGATTACCAGAGGCCACCTCAGCCTGCAGAGTTATGCTGACAGGAGAGCTTATTTAATTTTACCCAAACTACTTTAAGGGAAAGTTTTTCTCACTTGCACTCTTTTGCAGGTCAGGTCAAAGGAAGTGTCTTTGGTTGGTGTTATAGCTATATTCAAATTTGTTTGTGCTTTATATATAGGGCAAAAAGTGTGCTACTGCCGTGCTTCACAACCTGGGGGGTCACAGCCTACAAGGTGTTGCAAGATAAGTGTGAAGGGTTGCAAAATGATTCATGGCACAGGAGAGAAGAAAAGTAATATTTTCCTACCCAATTTTAAGATTTACTTTTTCTGGCACTTCTCTGATCTTTGATCTCTTAAGGCCTCCAACATTTATAAATTCAGATGAAACAATCTAAGACTTTAAGAGAAGAAAAACACTCTGATCTCTGATTAAAACTGCTCCCAGCTCATGGAAATATTCAACCTGTAAAGAAAGGTAACCATCAGACGCTGCTTTCTTTTAGTGATTATTTGCTGAAAAGGTTGGAACAATTGGTCATATGGTCACATTACCTCTATTTAACTGAAAACATTACAGCAATAAAAACAACCTTAAACTGCTTGTATTTGGCTTTTTAGTGTACATTTTATAGCGTGACAGCAGATATCAGTGCAGGTCCTATAATCTTGGGATGCCTTTTTCATTATTCTCGGAATGGAGAGTACATGTTTACCATTTACCTGCTGAATCAAAAAGCAAGTCAGCTGAACAGGCGAGTGAATAGTTTGAACCTACCTGCACTACACACTCATCATTTGTCAAAGTCAATCATCTCTGCAATATTATCTCCAAGTTGCCCTGCGCATGTAGATTGTAGACAGTCAATATTGTATTGTGCACCGTGTGCTTGCTTTAGATGCACTGCTTGCAACTTTACTTCTTTTTTATTTTTTTATTAGTTTTTCTTCTACTGAGTTCAACAACAAAGTATATATAGTGCAGATTATGTATCTTTTATTTGACAGAAATCTTTGCAGGGATCAAACATCCCATTATCGTACAAGTGGAACTACAAGTTCTTTCAGGTGTATTTCTCAGAGTGTATAGTTTTTGTGTACATGGTTGTAGTTAGTAAGACGCACTTGGTTAGAATTTATTCCATTGAGATATTGTTGTATGTTGGAATATGTATAAATGGCTAGAACTGGGTGAAAGCCCTTGTAGGTCAGTACAACAGAGGGCCATAACTTTAGCCTGTTTTTATGGGTCACTATCAAAAATATCATCAATGAGGCCTCAGATGAAGGGCTTGTATATTCTGTTATATATTCAGGGTCAGCATTGGACTGAAAAAAGGTATTAAAAAGTGGAGTGGAGGAGAAAATTGGCTTCTCGGCTGTGTCTTTAAGGCAAAATTATATAGGAGATCAATAAAAGGCTGCAAAGCAAAACTGCAATCAGGTCCCTAAAAACTCAATGCTGAGTTATCATTTGGGTCCATTGAAGAGCTAAAAAAAAAAGCAATTGTCTTCACAGTGAGTGTTCATCCATTATGTGATCCTCCTATGTCTATATCAGTATGATTGTGTTTGCACAAACTGTCTACAGCTTTCTGCCTGCAGAGCCTCCTTAAAACACATGGTGGCAGCAGCACTCCACTGACAGGAGTCAGCTGAGTCTGTTGTAACTCCCTTGTCTTTCTTCTTTTTTTATACATTGTCTTTTTTTCTGTGTTTGATTTCATTTTCGTGTTCATTGCGTTTTACATTACGTTTTAATGCCTGTCTATGCTCCATGTAGCTCTTTAAATTTGCCAAAGCAAATTATCTGACCATGCAGTCAAATTAAATAACACATTTACTTAAGTAAAACACAGTGTAAATAGTCAATTTCAGAGCAATAAATTATAGAGCCAAAGTTTTTTTTTTAATGTTCTGCACACATCCAACAATTTAAAAGGAAATCACGCAAATACAAGAGAAAGGAGAAAAAGAGACCCTAGGACATAAGACACTTGCTAAAATGATGCAGAAGTTAAAATTTACAAATTTAACATAAGCTATATGAAATTGAATAAATATAAATATAATATAAAATAATGTGGTATATGTAGTGATAAGATGAATAAACTGTAACGTAGACAGGTTGTGCAGTACTGTAGTGTGCTATAGCCTATGTGTGCAGGCATATATATAGAGAGGTACACAAAAGCATAAAGGCAGTGTGGTTTGGGTAAATAATGAAATGAAATAACAGATTAGGGGTCTCTTAGGGGCAAATTACAAGTTCATCATTCATCATGTATTATAATTCAATTCAAACTTTATTTCACACTCACATGAGGAAAATCCCAGCCTACTCCTAACCCAACAACTCCAACCTCAGGAGATCTAACCAGAAAACACCATGGGTATGTGGGGCCTTTAATCTCCAACAATGCAACATATTTATTAAATTGATCATATGTTTTGTTTGTAATCGAAGTAACTCCTAACTATAACAGTGGAACTGGCTAAATGTAGGGAAGTAAATAGCACAACATTTCCCTCTTAAATACAGTAGAAATATGTGAAAAGAATATGCTTAAGTAAAGTACAACTACCTCAAAATTGAGTACATGTACTTTAGTTACTTTCCACCACTGGCGTGTTTGTGCGTGTGCGTGCGCGTGTGTTAGTGTGTTCCGTGTCCGAACGTTGTGGAGTTCTGTCGTTCTATAGCTCTGATCACGCGAACCGAACGTTAACGTCACAATGTGTGTGGATTCTGGGTTGAATCTCATTTTAGTCCCTGAGTGAACTCAACGCAGAAATACTGAAGAAACGAGACTCAAAACCCATCAATTACTACAGACATTTGGATCTACGACTCTACTGACTGATCTCTTTCATGGTACAGTGAAGGTATATCATTATTTCTATCACAGATCTGTAGAAAACCCAGTAAGCACAGCAACAGTACCTCCATATGGTTTCTGTTTTATAAAATATTCATATATGATAAATCCTTTGGTAAATGTATATTTTGACTGTGTGAAAGGTGTTTCTTATTGTCCAGTGCATGTAAATGGTTCTCAAAATGTTAGAAACAAGGTAATACAATGGCCATGAATCCCCTAAAATTCAACCCAAAAACATTTTAAATTTGATTTTAGTTTACATTGTTTTGGTTACTTGTTTTCATGCACAGGTGGAAACTATAAGCTTATATTTAACTGGGTTAGTGTACTTAAAAGCAACTTGAAGCTACTCTTTTGAACCTTAACATTGACATTAACCTTACATTGAAACTTCAATGCAGTAATGTAACATATAGTATAGACATATGGTAGATTAGACTGATGCTAAAAACTGACACTGGCAGAGGTGATAAAAGAAGTTAAAGATAATTTTCACATCTGATGCCATAATATCAAATACGACCTGAATACATTGTTTAGGGTATTTTTTTTACTCTTGTGTGTGTGAAGCTCAAAATCTTAACTCTATTCATGTGTATTGAGCTGCATCTATTAGTGGAAATCAATAAAAACAATTAAAAAACTAACTGCACATGCCTTGTGTCAGAGAATGACTGACCCCCCCCCCTTTGCTCTCTCATCTGGTGTACAGTCATGCCACGAAAAAGCTCTCGATTGCAATCTATTGGATACTACGACAGTGAAGGAAAGCCATTTATTCATTATAAGGAGACCAAGTACAGGTAAGCTGGAGTTAGTGTGTGTGTCACAGTCATGCTGAATGTGGAATGTATGTGTTAAACACAGTAATCTGTTCTTCAGTATACATCTTCAAAGCTCTCACTCTTTTTTTCTCTCAAAAGACGCAGGAGCCGTTCCGCCACCAGGAGACAGACCCCCAGCAGAGTAAAAAAAAGGAACAACAACCTCAACAGCAGCAGCAACAGCAGAGGCTCCACTATGGTCAACCTAAAGATTTTTGGCTTTCCTCTCTTCATACTCCCCCTGTGTTTTGGTAAGTTATCTCTCCTTCCATGAACGATCATATCTAGTACCTCAGCTTTGTGACTTTTGTCGAGTGTCAGTCTTTTGAATAAAACATTGCTGACCTTGTTTCTCCCCAATCCATCAGGACTTGCATACTTTACTCTGAGCAGCAACATTCTGGATTCAGGACCCTCAGATTCACCAGTCTCATACATCCTGAATACGGTATGACTCATATAAGCAGCTTTTTTTTAATATAGTAAACACAGCCTATAAACACAACCACACGCATTGATGTCAACATGCAACATTAAATGAATCTGTTCTCACTTACAGGACTCGAATTTAGGATATGAAGACATGGTGAAGCGCATGAGAAAGCTGCAGGACGAGCTGTTCAGTTTAAGGAAGAAGATTGACTACCTGCTCCCGGATGTGGACACCTGGCCCAACTTTGCTCTAGAGATGCAAGGTGGGACATCTGAATCACCCTAATTCTCATCTGTCATATTGCAATTAACACATGTGCTTTTCAGGTCTGAGGTTGCTTTCTCACTCTCTTTGTTTTTTTGTGCGCAGGGGCCAGTGTCTTATTCCAGCGGTCTTCTAAAACATACCCGTCACAAAAAGCAGGACTTACGTTTTTTGGGATACCTCTCTGGCGATCATCTGTAAGCCCAAGGACTGTGATTCAGGTAGGAACTACACACACAAAACAGATGACTGTGTGGTATAGTAGGCTATATTCAATTATAGTTGGAATTTTGCTACATACAACATATGATCTAAACTCTCTTTTTCACTCTCTTTCATCAGGGACACTCACCTCTTATTCTAGGTTGCTGTTGGGCTTTTGAAGGTGATCGTGGACATTTATCTATCGCCCTGTCCCACCCCGTCAACATCAGTCATGTGACACTAGGTCACATTTCAAAGAACTTGTCCCTATATGGCAACATTTCCAGTGCCCCAAAAGAGTTTTCAGTCTATGTAAGTCATAAATCTAAAGTTGTTACACTGCAGAAATCCTGTGCTCAGTTTCACTGCAACATACCAAGAGAACAACAACATGTTCAACTGGATTTCTCCCTTTCTCTCTCACAGGGAATGGAAACTTTAGATGGCGAAGAAATCAATCTTGGAACTTTTCTTTATGATCAGGATGGGAACTCAGTCCAGACTTTCAAACTGCCTGTAAGTATTACACTGTGCAATTAAACAAGCTAATATATAAGAGTTACAGTTTGCCTTCTCGCCTATCTCTGTGTGTCTGTCTCTACTGTATTCATTATATCTCTTATTTGACCACCCTACTAACTCATTGCTCATTTATCTCTCAGGGTCATGAAAAAGACGTCTTCAGCTACGTGAAGCTGCAAGTTGAAAACAACTGGGGCCATGATGAGTTCACTTGTTTGTACAGCTTCAGGGTCCACGGGAAGCTGGCAGACTGAGGACGGGGGGTGGGGGCGGCGTCATCTGGGTGCAGCTCAGAGGCGGGTATGTATAAAGAGGTAAGTATCTGTGAAGGTGAATCAGACTCCAAACATGTGTAAATTAAAAGGATTTGTTTAACCTTGTGTTGTAGAATTTGCAGTCGTGAAAATATTAGCAAATGTTGCAAACTGTTTACGTTTTATTTATTGTTAGTAGGGGGGAAGCCAGTGAGGTATGATACCCACTGGTTGGGTGGGTCACCTGCGCAGGGGTGGACAGGGCGGGTGGGTGGGTGCTGGGGGAGGGGTGGTGAACCTTGGTACGCCACACTTCCTCCCAGCGAACCTCCTCCCTGCCAGGTGAACACACACTGCTACGGGCTCCACGTGGATCGGAGGAGATCCGTAGCTGGTTGGGGGGAGAGTCCACCATTTGCTGGTATTTTCTGTCACTTCAAATTCCATAACACAAGTCATAATCTGTCCTACATGTTTTCAATCTGATTCACCTTCACTCTGAGGGCGGCACGTGGCGCAGTGGTTAGCACTGCAGCCGCACAGAGAAACGGCCGGTGTTTTGGTTCTGGTTCTTTCTCTGTGTAGAGTTTGCATATTCTCTCTGTGTCAGCGTGGGTTTACTCCGGGTGCTCCGGTTTCCTCCTACACTCTAAAGACATGCAGGTTAGGTTAATTGGCTGCTCTGTAAATATAGTAATATATGAATGTAATATTATTTTAATATATATGTATATATTTAAACATTAAAAAACTTAATCTATATAGTATATTTACTTGTTTGTGCTTGTTTTATCACATATTTGCTCTGATTTCATGAAAGTTTCCTTTTCACCCACGCCCTTTAATCTTTGATTCAAGGGTAATATGTCCGGTGGTTGACACATCAAACCACAAGTAGATTCATGAATAGGGGGACGTTTTATGAAAAAAACCACCTCACTGAGTCCACATGGTCCAACATTTTTCATACATAACACTTTTAGAAAAATTTTGTTTTTGGAAAAGAAGCTGAGCCATCTGAGGTACCAAACTGTGAAAACCTCCAACAGTTGCAGCAATTGTGTTTGAGTACAAAAATGCTGCAAGCAAGTCCTTGTTAAGCACAAATAAAACATGATTGCTCGGCTGAACACAAAGTGTCTCTTAAAATCTCAAAAGCGAAGGCATTAATTTGGCTGCTTGGTGAAAATGAGGGGGAGATTTAAGAACGTTGCAGGACTGATCTCCATCTCCTTCTGCTCATTGAAGGAAACAAAAACAAAGAAATGTATCATTTTTTTGTGTCACAATGCACATAAAAAAACAAAAAATCTTTACACATTTATAATCCAGTGATAAAACGGGTGCAAACTGCATAATGAGAGTACTTTAAGTATATGTTAAAGGTAATACTTTTGTACTACTTTAGTACAAAGTTGAATAGAGGACTTTTACTTGAAACACAGTATTTCTATACTGTGTTATTACTACTTGTACTTCCACCATTGGTAGCATCTGAACAACACAAAATAAAGGTACAAATAAAACAACTATAAAAAAAAAAACTTCCCTCTCACCCTCTTGGGGTGGTATCTGTGTCATTCTCAAGCTCGGGTCCTCTACCAGAGGCCTGGGAGTTTGGTGGTTCTTAGCTGTTCCTAGGACTGCGCTCTTCTGGACTGAGGCTTCTGATGTTGTTCCTGGGATCTGTTGGAGCCACTCCCCCAGTTTGGGGGTCACTGCCCCGAGTGCTCCTACTACCACGGGGATCACGCTCGCCTTGACCTTCCACATCTGCTCCAGCTGTTCTATCAACCCTTGGTACTTTTCAACCTTTTCGTGTTCTTTCTTTCTGATGTTGGCGTCTGCTGGTATGGCCACATCTATCACCACCGCTTTCTTCTGCTCCTTGTCTACCACCATTATGTCCGGTTGGTTGGCCAGGACCTGTTTGTCAGTCTGGAAGCTGAAGTCCCACAGCACCTTGGCCCTGTTGTTCTCAGCCACCTTCTGTGGTGCGGCCCATTGGGATTTGGGTACTTCTATTCCGTACTGGGTACAGATGTTCCTGTACACTATTCCAGCCACTTGGTTGTGTCTCTCTATGTACGCTGAACCGGCTAGAATCTTACACCCTGCTATTATGTGCTGGACTGTCTCAGGGGCATCTTTGCATAGTCTGCACTTTGGGTCAGATCTACTCTTGTAGATCTTGGCCTCTATGGCTCTTCGACCTAGGGCTTGTTCTTGTGCTGCCATGATCAGTGCCTCTGTGCTGTCTCTGAGTCCAGCCTTTTCCAGCCATTGGTAGGTCTTCTCGATATCAGCCACTTCTTCAATTTGGCGGTGGTACATGCCATGTAGGGGCTTGTCCCTCCAGGTTGTCTGCTCCTCTTCCTCCGCACTCTTATTGGGTTTCTGTTGCATTCACTTATATATATATATAATATATATATATATATATATATATATATATATATATAAGGTTTTTAAGGTTTAACTACATACACTAAAAATATCTGTTTATTTTTACGGATACACATTTTTAATGAAGATAAAATACAGCCTAAACATAATCAATAAATATTATTTGAATACATTTTGTACATTTTGTCACCGGAAGTAAAACAATTCCATATCCGGGTGACGCGATGTTTACGATCCGGATGTTGGATGGCTAATGCTAAGTATCGAGGAAGAGAAAGCTCCATTTACGGCAAATATTACGACCACTTCACTCACCACTAATGGCATCTCAGATCCCCATTACCGTCAGGGCTCCGCCTGCAGCCGCCAGCTCCGCCGCTCTCCGGGGGAAGAAACGTCCCGGTAGTCCGGCGGTTTGTGCCGCTCCGCCGGCTAACGGGAGCAGCAACAGCGGCAAGAAGAAGAAAGGACAGCCGACAGCGACACAGACAACACAGGCACAGGTAACCGATTCATCTATTGGTCCCTATGGTCTCTACATTTATCTGTTACACTGCCTTTATTGTAGTCAGTGAACAGTAATGTTGTTGGTTGCTCTGTTGCTGCTAGGCTAATACAGCTGTAATGTAACTGAGTGTAGTTACTGAGCGTTACTCAGAAATCAGAGTAACTAAACGTTACTTACAGTGAAATACACACATAGAGGTTTTGTTCAGTTGTTCTAGAGTCTGTCCTTATATGCACTGTCAATGGTCTGTCTATAGCCAACACTAACTACACAGGTTAAACGTGCAAAGGAAGAAAAATAGGGGTTCAAATATTATTTTAATTACAGAATAATCTGCACAAAATGTGGTAGGGCTGCACAATTAATCCAAGTATTATTGAAATCGCGATATTCAACTGTATTTTGTTGGTTTAATGTGTGACAAGACAGCATGTTAATGTAGTGCTGTAGTGCTACAGAGATGCTCTGGCAGATGAATCTTGTTCTGCAGATTTTTCCTGTTTGGTACAGACCCCCCAAAAAATTTCACATTATCATGATTTAAATAATTTCTTCAGTGAAAATTAGATTTTTTAAAAAAAGCAAAAATGATCCATCCCACTAATCATGAATCATACCACAATCTCCTGATCTTCAAAATACTCGCAATATGATGTTTTTACAATATCGTGCAGTTATACAACCATTGCAAATCCGAAAGATATTTTGTATACTCATAATCATATGAGCAGTAAGAGACTGTTTAACATTGTTGCCTGAAAGCTGACTAAAACAACTAATCAATGTCCAAATAGTTTGCAGAACTCATTTTCTGTCAATCAGCTCTTTAATTAGTCGACTAACTGTTTCAGGACTTAAAGTAGCCAAAAAGCCAAATAATCAGAACATCACAAACACACAACTGACTATAATGACTGATCAGAGCTGTACCTGTGGTGATTTGTAGACTATATACATAAATATATATATATTTTTTCCAGTTTTGACCAAAACATATAATTTTAAAGCATCATGTGTCATAACAGCTACAAAACATTGAGGTTCGAGGTTAATGTCACACAGTGTTTAACCAACTGCACACTTTGTTTACATTCAAAACACGTAAAACAAGCTTAAATGTTATTACTGTTTGTCTGAAGAGGTGTTGTCTTTCACGTTTCATCAGATAACAGCAGTGGAGGCGGTGGCTGAGGTGAAAGCGGTGGGAACAGCTGACAGCGCTGCGACTGCCACCACAGAGTCCACAGCAAAGCCTCCACCATTCAAAGACCCCACATTTATGGTGAGTGTCTGTGTCCATTGGGGTTAAGTTTATCTGCTTCTGTTGCTTTTCCCTCAATTTCTGCCCTCTTTTTTTTTTATTCCCCCTTTCTTCATCTTGACAGCATTCAGGGATTGGTGGAGCAGCAGCAGGTAAAAAGAACAGGACCTGGAAGAATCTCAAACAGATTCTGGCTTTGGAGCGGACTTTACCCTGGAAGCTCAATGACCCCAACTGTAGGTGGTTGTATGATTCAAATTCTACCACATTTATGCCTCTATTTTATTTTGTGCAACAGATATTACATTAAGTTTTTTAAATGTTTGGCATTTTAAAGCAAAAATACTTAAAGTGACTTTATTCCACCGAAAACAACCTCTTCTTTACTGTATGTCAAAGTTGTATAATATTATCACATTAAATATAAGACTGCAGGGATAAGTCAGTGTCACTTTCACAAGTAATGCTCTTAATGGTTCAGTTTTAATCAGCAGTTTCTGTGTTCACAGACTACAACATTGATGCCCTTCCCTCCTTGAAGCCAACCAAGAAATACTCTGACATTTCTGGACTCCCTGTAAGTAATCGCTTTGCATAAATCCTCATTGTACAACAAACAAAATTACTTCGAACTCTTCTATAAAGCACAGACTGGATCCCCTCTCTTCTCTGTCTGCAGGCAAACTACACAGACCCTCAGACAAAGCTACGCTTCACATCCTCGGAGGAGTTCTCCTACATCCGCCTTCTCCCCACTGATGTTGTTACTGGCTACCTTGCCCTTCGAAAGGCAACTTGCATCGTACCCTGACAGCAGGGCTTGAAACCTGAAACAGGTTCAAACCAGAACTGAACTCAGTGTAGGAATGCGTTGGGTTTGCCAGGAGACGCAGAGCACAGGCTGCTCACAGAGAGGCAACACATTTGTGAACGCCAGTGAAGAGACTGGAGCTCGTAGGCCGGCCTCTGCTAAACATTTGCTTTGCTGTCTTTAAGAAGACAATCTGAGTCAACTAGTCTCTGTTTTTTACTATGTAAAACTTATATGAAAGAGTCTTTATTCAAAAGTTAGCAATAAGATATTCTTTTGCTTATTTGTTCAAATACATTTCTCAGTATCCTTGAGGACATTTTCCCATTAAGTGTTCCTATAAACTCTGGGGGAATGTTTGGGAACTTGACATGGATATGCTCCTGCTAAATCCTCGGGGAACATACAGTTGTTTGTCAACTGCTCAATACAGGCATTGCTGCTAGGATGCCCCCTTGTGGTCTAACATCTGTTTCGAGTGGTGTAAATAAGAGAAGTTGTGGACAAAAATGTTGCAGTGCTGTTAGAGTGAGTTTGTCCATTTCATTTCTTTTTTATAAGAAGCCCATTAAAGCTAACTTAAATTTGGTATTCAACTCTCCTTTTCTGTTCTTTCTCATGTTTTTTTTATATAAACATACAGTTCTCAGTTGAAAGTGAAGACAGAAGCAAAATTGCTGGCTGAATATGTTATTACACTTGTTGGACATTGACATTAAAAACCATTATCAACACAATTATCCTCACCTGATACTGTTTTTAGCTGTTTTTGGATCTTCTGTTATATGCAGTAGCCCTTTATGTATGTAAGCTGTGCAAATATAGCACCAAGCAGGCTTTCACATGTGTCAGAATTTGTTCCACATGGTTTTAATTCCACAGCTGCCTTTGATATATGATTTACTCTCTGATTGGTAGAGGGAGGATGTCTCATTAATCACACATGACGGGCATCCAGGATCAGTTCCATGGTATATTTTACGCTTTTTTTTTTTTTTACAAACTTGATGAATGAGGACCAGCGTATTTCTCACATGAATGATTCCCATTATGCAGAAACTAAGAATACGGCCACCAGAACAGTCAATGAGGATCACGAGCTTGGGAAAATTACAAAAGCTCTGAGTAATAATCAAACCTGCAACCTCCACAAGTCCTTACCTGTCGAGATGGAGAGATACACGTGCCATTCTTCAGCTTCTGCATGTCTTCTTGATGTGTTGTAAACACACACTGCCCATTCTCTGTTAGCAATAGGTCAGCTGTGTGTGTTACCTTTTGAGGATAAGGCTTGTCTTATTAGCAACAAATCTCAAAGAATCTGAGGACGGCAACAATTAATTGATCCTACAGAATAAGTACTAATTACTCCCTGTGCAGCTTTAGACTTGTTTACTGTACAGGATATTTCTATGTGTCATGAGATCCTATTTCCCAAAAGCTATGAAAACCCATAAATGAGTGACACTGTTGCACTGGGTGGCAGAAATACATATTAGTATTTCTGCAAATGACCAATCTTCCTCTGAGTGTTACTTCTCCCAACCCTGGACTTTAGGGAAGCTGATGGAGGCAGTATAGTATATCTATGAGAGTCAGACTAGCATTTCCATTCCTGCTGTGGCATCAAAACCTCAACATAGTGATTAATGAACGGTGCCAGGGCTTTCTGCTACCCAAGCACACGACCCACCAGAGTGTGTCTGTGTGTGTCTGCAAGTGTGTGTGTGTGTGTGTGTGTGTGTGTGTGTGTGTGTGCTTTTACGTTTTGTGGCATCTTTGCCACCTTTGTCCACTAAAGAAAACCTACAGTGAATCAGTTTATCTGTTTGTGTTTATATGGCTGTGTAAGGCTGTGTAAGAATGTATCATAATTAATAAAAGTCCTCAACAGTGTAGCGATATAAACCTGTTTTATACATACTTTATGAGTGTCTGCTTAACTGAGTCTACCTACTCCAAACTCATTATGTAGCCCACACATCCTGTAGATACACCTGTCTCTGCAGTCACACTTTGTCACCACCTGGGTGTGCCAGCGCTCTGCTCATTCTCCATACAACCTGGCTGAGTGTGTTTGGCGTCTCAGTCCCACAGTGAGCTAAGTCAGTCAAGTTGAATGAGTGTGTCCATCTCCGAGCAACGTCTGGAATCTATCCACTTGTTCTGATGAAGGAGAACTGAACACTGCGTTTCCACACATCAGCAGGCGAATAATAAATACTAGTGAAAGGATGTATTAAATGAAGTGAACAGGCTAAATAACAATATCATTAAAAGAAGTGACACCTTTTAAGAGATAAATATTATAGCTACTGCTGTTAAAGTTTAGCTGACAAACACACCTTCATAAAAGTGTCAAATACATCCTATAATAAAAACAGGAGCACACTGATTTAAACAGGCTGATTACTAATTTTAGCCTGAGCACGGAAATTGATGTAAGCAATTTAGGACTACAGTTCAATCATATAATAACCTTCATTAAGAAACTGATTGTGATTAAGGAATTGATTGTGATGTGCATAAAACGGCTCATCTTTCTTTGACGTAGAGTTTGGCACCTGCTGCATTTCACAGGATATGTGTTGTCAGAGAACGCACACACCAATTGAGCTGAAATCAACAAGTCACTCCTGTCGAGTTTGTTTTCCAATGTATACTTTGCTGAACTTCTGCAAGCAAGTTTTTCTGACCCTGGGGAGATGCACTCTGTGAACTAATGTCATCTTGGTGCTCATTTAGGTCCTGTCTGCCTGCGGGTTTTTGTCACTGTCACATTTTAGTGATGATGGAGATGGCATCTGTGCTGCATAATGGCTACAGACATAATTATATAGTTTCTTTCACTTCCCAGGACATGGAGTTTTTCCAGGACTGCTTTTTACTGGTGTCATCGGACCTTCTGACTATATACATACAGCAACAAACGCGTCATCATTTCATACATTTTGCTTGTGCAGAGATATTTGGTGGACAAATGAGCACATTTGATTTTGCTGAAGCTATTGGTAAATGACCAGATCAGATCCATGACTTTGTTGTCCAACATGGCTCAGTGTGCCATCATCGCTGTCACGACTGTATGGACATAAGCAAAATCCTTTAAAAACAAGTTGAGGAAAGCCGTTGATCGAAACCATATTGCATCACTCATGTCTGACTTAATAAAATATATGAGAAAAATTCATGAGAACTATCCTCAAATGTCAAGTCAGAGAAATGTACTGCACCAGCGGCTCTGGTGAGCTGATCGATAGACCAGCTCCAGTGCCTGCTGAGCCAGCAGGGGAACTTTCATATTTATGTTTTTGACCTATTGGAACAGCAGAAGTAGCATAGTGAACTTCTTTACTCCCTGCTAACAAAGACACAACAGTCTAAGTTTGTTAGATGTTACTGCACCATATATGATCAGAGTCTGAAGCACAATGTTTATGGGAGACTTCAGTTCTGCAGCAAACCATAAGTTTCTGAAGAGCCTCTGTGAAGCTCAGTGTGGTCAGCTATGGCCGTCGCCATCTTGGAAGTACTGACTCTAATCCAAAATTGGGCCAAGGTGGGTAGAGCTGAGGCAAGCTGAATGAAGCCTGGTTACTGAAAACAGCCGCCTGTGACGACACCCACCTGTCACTCAAAGCTGCCATGCCCTTAATTAAGCATAACTTTAAGCCTTCATATGCCATAAAAAGCAGGGTCACAAATAGACGCAGGTCCCCTTTACTAGCCTGGTGTGAGTTCTATAAAAACTGACCCCCCATAAAGTTGCCATGGACAGGGAAATTAGCTATGGAGACCAGCACCAGTTTTTGTAGCAGCTGTAAACATGTTTATTTATGCTTTAAAGTTGGGCATTTTAATATGGGGTCTTATGGAGATTGATCACTTCTGTAACCAGCCTCAAGTCAAGCCACAGAGGTTGCAGCTTGCTTCAGACACACTTAGAATGATCAGATTTTGTACGTGTGATCTTCCCAATGGCTGCATGCAAAGAAGGACCAAGTTCACAGAAGCTGATATCCAGGCAAAGACATCTAGGAGAACTAAAGCAGAGAAAAAAGCTCCTCGTGTCACACAAGTCACATTCACTATTTGAAGTAAATGGCAGTGTGCAGGTAGATGTGAAAAAGGGCAGAGCTCCAAATGCTCTCAAATTCTCCACAGTCCTAACATAACCTCTGTGTTAGAGATGGGAGAAGTGCAACTGAAATCTAAATCAAATTCTGAACAACTGCCTACTGCCTAGAGACTCCAGACAGACTCTTCCCACACTGCCACTCCATGTTTTTAACCACAGTGGAGCAACTGGTATTCAGCACACGCCAGGAAACGTGTGACCGGTAAACTATACCTGTAAATGCAATATTTTGTCTTCTCTGCCCTGGGTAGAGTTTTAGACTAAAAAATGGTCTAACAGGACGAACATTTCCTTAATCTGATAACGAGTTTAGGGGATTGTGTTTTAACCACTGATGGCTGATGGTGATGGCGTTATGTACAAGGTATTATAATTTGGTTATTATACATTGTATTTTGTATAGTAGGTAGTGTATTTTGTACTCACTTATCATATATTTTATGTTTTTAATTTAGTTTTTGTGTATTTTATGTTCAGGTCTGTTTATTTTACTTGGCTTTAAACTTGACGATTTACTCAAAATGTCTAGCATTCAGTGGATAGCCATTCTAGCCAATTGTTTTTTTGATTATTGCTTGAAGAAAGAATTTCCTTTTTCCATTAAATGAATAGTTTGTCATTTTAGAAAATGTGCTTATTTCTTGCCATCACCGTGAAGTTGCCAGGCAACCAGCAGAGACTCTAGAAAGTTATTGAATGAAACAGCCTGGTACATAAAACATAACCACCACCAACTTTTTCACTTTGTACTGATTAAAAAAAGGTGTAATGTGTTAATATGTGAGCTTTATAGGTGTTGGTATGGTCAGTGGGTTTTGGTTGCCTTTGGACAGAGTCAGGTTAGCTGGTACCCTCTGTTTCAGTCTTGGTAAGTTAAACTGACCAACTGCTGACTCTAGCTTAATATCTACCGTACAGATAAGAAAGTGGTATCAATCTTCTGATCTAACTCTTGGCAGGAAAGTCAATAAGGGTATTTCCCCAAATGTCAAACTGTTGCTTTCCCCCTTCCTTGTGCTGTATTATGAGGCCAAGCACCAGTGATTCTTAGGAAGCTATTTCGCCTTAAACTTCTCTTCTCATTTTTCCTTCAACGTCCTTACAATGTCTTCATGTCTGTGTAGCTGTCTGTCTTGTTCTTGTGCTTTTGTCTTCTTGCGAAGCCTTTGCCCTTCACCACCTTCACGGTTGTACTTTGTCACTGCTTGTGCGCTTCGTCCCTGTCTTATAGGGACAAACCACATGAAAACTGATGTTTAACCATAACTGATCGTGCCACGGCTGCCCACATAGTGACACAGTTTCATGGTTCATTTAGCAGAGAAAAGACGCAGATCGCCGCCTCAAGGAGTCTCATATTTGTTTTGTTTTTTCTCTCCCGGTTTGAATGCAGCCCAAGTGAATGTGATGATGTTACCAGTTGTTATTGGGCTGTAGAGGTCAAACAGTAAAGTGTCATCAGATAGCTAATCAACTCATTCAGATATCATTACACTGGGCTAAATCCCTGTTAATCCCACTGAAGATTCCATCAATGTTCCCCCACAGGTCAACTTGTTCCTCTGTGTGTGTATGTGCACTCACGTGTAGACATAAGGG